CTGCTAGGCTCTAATAAGTAAATACATCACGAGGTAAGGAGCTAGACGAGATTTGTGAGTAGAAATACTTTTTAATGGATGATGATTATATTACCTATATAAAGTGAACTATAAGAAAATAGCTCGTAGTTCGTAGTGAATGTTGGTTATTGCGATTAATATTAGTCTCATCTTACTGTTGATTATTTTTCAATTTTTTGGTTTTGCCATTTCTGCAGACATAAATTTTCTAATTGCTGCGATATTTAAGATCTGATAGTTCTTGCAGCAATTTAATTTCGCAGAAACTGAAAATAAGTTTTTGCTAAAAAAATCCTTCCCCAATAAAAAATTTAATATTGAAGAGAATTCTGGCTATTTGCAAGCTTCATTAAAACTTCTTGGATAGTTACAAAGTGATAAATCAGTCACTTTTCAAGGTTGAGTATTTGGATAAAACATATTTGGGGGAACGAATGCTTCTGCCATGTGTTATTTGCGATTATCGAATAGATGCCGAGCAAACAGGCGAAATTGTGGATTCAGGTTTCACTACCAATCTTCTTTTACGTGAACACCTTGTTGAATGTCATGCGAAATTTGTTGCTCGCGCCCTACTCGCTCCCAATGTTAACAAAAAAACGCATTTTTGGCTTCTTACCAATATTACCTATGATACTGAGGCTAGTTATTATTATCTTACTTATTACTTTCTCAAACTATTTGTGTACACTAATTCTTGTTTTGAACACACCATACATTAACAACTTTAATGTACAATTTTTCACAACTGCTTGGAAAAAATTTCAAACAAAAATAATGTTATTTTGGAATTTCAATTAAAAGAATCTTTTGACGTGGAGAAGATTGCAATAGTCATGCAGTAGCTTGCAGGAAGAACCTGTAGAAGATATTTTCGCACCAACAACATTGGAATCAGCAATTCAACAAGAATCAGTATGTTTCGTTACTTCTGTAAACATTTATATTTCAGTAATTATAACTGAATATTTTATAGGTATCCCAAGATATCAGTGCTGGCCTGCCCTCCGCGCGAAAACGAACTTTTTCAAAAATTGATCATTTTGAAGAAGAAATACATACGCATTCAGCATCAGAAGACCAATTTCCGGCATGTTTTTCTTAGGAAGTATTTTCAAGTATAGCTCATAATAAAATAATAATATTTTTTTTCTGTTTTATTTTCGTAACTGCATCATTGCTACATGAAATTAGTAATGAGTGATAACTTTCTAAATTCCAACTTTAGGTTGGCTAATTTTTTTCATCACTTTATTGTAATTGAATGTAATATATTGTGTGACACTAAGCTTTCATATGAATTATTACTTTATGAAGATTTTTATTAATATGGAAGCTTTTATTGTATGGTATAGGAAATTATTACTCATGTTATTATTTCAGGAGGTAGAAAGCGAATTATTTGCTGACAGAAGTAGTTATGATTCAACAAATCAGGATCAGCAACAGATATTGTTCTCGACGTCACTTCCAAATGGATCAAAAGCAATTCGTAAATCAACTTGTCAAGTTTGTCATGTGGATGTGTGCACTACAGCACGTCAGCGACACGTTTACCAATTTCATCTTCGCATATCCAATTTATTCCAGTGTTCTCTATGTGATTACACTAACAATAATTCAGTTTGGGAAATGCGCAAGCACTGTACTACAGCTCATCAGGGAAATGCATATCCAGTGAGCAATGAAGAAGATCACAAACTTGAAATACAGGTGTTACTTTCCGAAATTTATTCTATGTCATGTACTATTATACACACATTACTAAAGCTTTTTATCAATGAATCATGCGAACGTTAATTGTTTGCTTTATTTGTTACAAAATGATGGCAAAATTTAATTTGATAGATTAATAATTTGTTAATTCCGCCTTCAGAGTTGGAATCAAAAATGCTTTCCGGATTGGAAGCTGAAAAAATCACCTTTATCAAGACAAACTACTACTATTAAGGTTTTTTATGCTATTAATTTACCCAAACTTAAATTACTCTAGTATCTGAACTGTTTAATGTAATTGTTCTTTTTATAGCTAAGACTTAGTTAAGACAAAATCATTAAATTTTGAGTGCATAAATATCTGAGTTGCCTAAGTTCATCTCTATTCAGAAAGCAAAGATAATTGCTGATGGCCTTCAAGCAGAAGAAGATGGAAATGTTGAAGGAAGTAATTATTGTGATGAAGTAAGCAAGTTTGAAATAGAAGTTGGTAGTGGAGAGTGTAGCCTAAGACAGTCAGCAGTAGCAGCTGTTGTGGACGATCGAACTTGTCATCTTTGCTGGTAATTGGATCTGATTTTCTTCTCATTACGAAATTTGAAATGACTTTTGTTCATCTATGTGGTTACAGGGAAGAATCTCGTTATCCTGGACGTCATATAGCTCAAAAACATTTAAAGAAACCACTCTACCAGTGTCCAATTTGTACAGTTTTTGGGAGTTACGAGAGTTGCACTGTGAGTAAACACATCAACAAAGTTCATCCAGAACATTCTGCAGCTCTTCCAATATCGAATTTGGAGCAATATGCGCAAGAGATTCGTGATTTGCAGGTAATATCATTTAGTTTAGCAAAAAATAAAATTCTCATTTGCACTTTTTTACTTAGGATAGCATATTTTAGAAACAAATTTATTCTCATATATTTTGTATTTTTTTCTCAACTGCATGCATGCTTGTTTCTAATAAGTATCTGTTTTAGAAAAAGTGTTTCCCAAATCGGCCGATGAAACTAGTTCGACCACACGTTGGTAATCGTCCTCGAGAACGACATATCTGCCAACTATGTAAAATACAGGTTATTTTTTGGAATTTGAAAAATAATGGCTGTTAGAAATTTCAAGCATACTTCGAAAATTAGTCTTTGAGCTTCATTTGTGCTTTGCAACCAATTTTTTGTCAAGAAGTGCAATATTTAGTTTTTTATATTGTCAGCGAACGTTAAATTTTTGTTTTATCAGGTGGCTCAATCTGATCGTCAGCGACACGTTTATCATCGTCATTTGAAGCAACAACGAATTTTCGAATGTCCTTTGTGTCCATTTGCTTCAAATTATGATATTCATCGTGTAAAATGGCATATCAAATGGATGCATAAAGAAGATCCTAACATAGAACCTTTTTCTCATGAAAATGATTATAAGCATGTTGATTTCTCTACTCAAACATTGAATTTCTGTTTCAAATGCCATTCAACTTACTGCATTTTATTTAGCATTTCGTATCAGCAACACTAGTTTCTGTTATCATTTATAATCATAAGAAATCATAATAATGAAAATATTAAAAATTTCAATTTTTTTGTTGAAATTTGATCATTTAATTTCTTGCTACAATATGAAATTAATCATCCATTTGAACCAGTTTTTGAAGTGACCTTAAATGACTCGTTTAGATTTTTAGAGATGAAATAGACCGATTAAACGAACGGTGCTTCCCAGGTTGGCAGCATCGACGAAAGCAATTTTGGTGGTTGAATGCAAGCATGGATAAAAAGCAGAATGTGAGAGTTCTGATTGGCATTCTTAAATTTTAACCAATTAAATAATTTTTCACTGTTTGAAGCATATAAACCCGCTTATTGCAATACAATTTTTATTAGGCATGTTTACTTTACATTTATTAATCACACCAGGAATCTCCTGAAGCAAATCATCAAGAAGAGAACGAATTGTCTGCAGAAGCAGATGTCCGCGAATCTTCTTCCGACAAACAGCTTTCAGAAGAGCATACCGAAAGAGTTGAAGATGAGTGGACTTGCATGGTTTGTTGATTTTTATTTTATTTTATACTGCACTTTTTTTTAATTTTTGATTGCATAATTTTTTGATCTGTTGATTACTTTGCTTCTCGAAAAAACAAAAGCATATTATTGTTTAAAATGAATTTATATTATCAGAGATAAATATAAAAACTGAAAGGAAAAAAAGTAACTGCAGCTGATTTACAGTCATTCCATTTCTATTAATCATCAGAAAATAATGAATTATAGCTTTGAACTGCATAGTTTAGTTTGCTTTAATTTGATAACTTGACATATAAAATAATTGCTGTTTTCAGTTATGTAAGAAAGAATTCAAGCCTTCATCTAATTTTTTGCGTCATGTAGCAAAAGATCACTTGAAGATTAGTCTTTATCATTGTCCAATATGTAAATGTTACGGAGGTCAAGATGCTTATGAAATACGCTGTCATATGCAAAAAGTACACGATGGTTGCACTCACGAACCTTCATCTAATATTGAAGAATATGCAGACGAAATACAGCAAATGTATCAGAAATGTTTTCCGAGTCGGAGGTTGAAAGTAATCTTTTAAATGATTATTGCTTGATTATTACTTAAATATCTGGAAGAATAGTATGAAAATAGAAAAAGACCAAACTTGAAAATAATCATAGCATATTTGTATATCGGTTCAAAATTTGATGTAAAATCGTAAAAAATTGTTGGATGGAAGTTGCGTTCTTCTTTTGATGATTATCATATATTTTGTGATACATTTTTTATCAAAATATTTACAGAATTTGTGGGCAGAAAAGAAAGCAAATCAAGATGGAAAAGGTTTGGAGGAACTGAAAGTGCAATGTCGAGAATGTGGACAAGAAATGAAAACGGAAGATCGACAGGTAGCGCAAAGAAGTTCAGTAAAAATTGTTTGACATGAAATACAAAATAACTTCTGTGAAATTTTCGCTTTTCTGGCATTGCAGCAATTCTTTATTTCTTTTAAAGAGTAGTTTACAAATGTATATCAGTTTCAAAAAAAATTGCTTTCATTTTTTTATAAAGTAATAATTTTATTGATTTACTGTTTTTGGAATTATTACCCAAAATTTTTAATTATCTGTCGAATTAAATATGAAATCTGACATTCGGTCATATAGATTCATGTGTACAGACATCACTTGAAGGAGCCACGTCTTTATGAATGTCCACTTTGTGAATTTTCTCATCATGCGTGCTCCTCAGATGTCAAAGCTCATATCAAGTAAATTTTTTTCCAGTAAACATTTTGATGCAATTTGTTCTATTGTATTAATGTTTTACAATTTTTATCAAAAGATCTCATTGAATTTAAAGGTACGCACATCGTGAAAATGCACATTTAGCGCCAAAGGCGAATTTATTAAAATATTCGAAAGAAATCGCTGAATGGAATTTGCGTTGTTTTCCTGGTTGGATTAATCGACGATTGCCTACCTCTGCTTTAGAAGATTTTAATAGGTGTTCACTTACAATGTTTTTTATATCATCTTTTTTAAAGTTAGTAGAGTTTGTTGAACAGTTTTCTGTGTATATGCAAATTTAGCTATTTTAAATGAATTAGCATTTTTGATTACAGATGTCGACTTTGTGACTTGGAAGTACGTCAAACCTCACGTCATATTGCCGAATGCCATCTTAACATGTCGCTTCATGAGTGTCCTTTATGTAATTACGGAGCAGCCGAAAGTCGCCTTGTCCGAAGACATATGAAGAATGGTCATCGAAAAAGAGAAGTTAAAGTATGTTGTGTGGATGATTTTTTATTTCGAAAAATATATGGAAAAGTTTTCATATTAATTTTGGTTCGGTTTTGAAAACTTTGTTGCACATGGAAGTGAATCATTCAAAAAAAAAAATGCTAAAATAGCATAAAAATATGTGCCAAAATTTATATCAGTTGAGTTTTTTGTCCATTTTTCAAGAAATACTATCATAAATCAAAAGAAAATAGGAAGCATTTCAAGGGAATGCTACCTATTGCAAATGTTGTGAAGCACCGAACAGCCTTTTCGGAAATGCACGATCAGTGTTTTCCTGGACGACCTAAACGGCTCTCAAATATCACTATTTCCGATGAAGGACGACGGACAAAATGTCGTCAGTGTGGTTCTACTATTAGCAGAAAACGACGTCTGAGTCATTTGCTAGAGAAACATCTCGAAAAACCTATGTTTAGGTCAAAATTTTAGCATTGTCTTTCAGGCAGTCAGAATTTGTTATTTCAGATTGTACAGCAGTCTCGTTATTTTATAAACTTTCATTTCAGAATATTTTAATAATTGTTTAAAGTTTTTCCAACACTGTAAAAAAATTCCATAAACTATATTGTATTCAAAATTTTTGAGAGGAAATGTGATGAAAATTTTTCTTGAGGCACACAAATCTCAAAAAATATGTAAAATCAATTTACTTTCTCAGAGGTCAATTAGTCAAATAGAATGCATTTGCAGTGTAATGAAGGAAGTTAGGATCGAAAGTTATTGCCTATGTTTTTAATTTCTTAAGCTACAGCTTCCAATATTATGACAAGTATTACCCTTGACAAAACTTACTTTTACTTTTTAGGTTGGAATTTGCTTATTATCATCATTTTTATTGCTACTATCATACATTTTTTTTAAACTTTAGTTTTGTAATCGGTGCTATTTTAAGATGCTCATTGTGTTCATTTCAATCAATTCACGACGAAACTGCAGTCAGAATTCATATGCGAGAGGAACACAAAGATGAAGAAGGTCAAATAATCAATGATCTCATAAAATACAAAGCGGAAGTAGAAATGATGGCAAAAAGTTGTTTTCTCGACTGGCAACTACGACTTTAACTATAAAATTATATTTATGTGTGTATTTCATTATTCTTCATTACGCTGCTGTTTTTAATGCATTTGTAATTTATTGGTGCAAAGCAAGATGAGACGTAAGCGTTAAGCATTAGCTAAATTATATTCTGTATCTATTTATTTTAGTTTGATTTGGATAATACTTTTTAATTATCATTAGTGATGGATAAGAATAAAAGTTGCTTTTATGGAACAGCAGTAGTTTGAAAAATATCCTAGCTGACTATCAATTGTATATTTAATGAACTTCCGTATCTGAATTTCCATCAGTGTATAATGCTGAAAGCTATTTGTTTATATCTTTATTCACCTTTACTCCAAATTGAATGTGACATTTACGGTATGGTAAATTGGAATCATAGTGATCAGTGATCAATATAAAATCGTAATTTCGATATTGATATTTTTTGAAATTTCCACATTCTGTTGACTTTTTTCACTTCTGTTCCATGAGCCAGTTCTTGATCTCAAATTTTATTTGTGCTGTTCGAAGACTACTGTAAACTTATTAAAATATGCATATGAATTAAAGAAACTGTTTGTAAATTGTTTTTGTAATTGCATGCTTAAGTATACAATTTTCGCAAAGGAAAGAAAAAGAAATGGCAAGTATTAATCTTAATTTTCTCTGCCAGTCATCTCAGTAAGACTTTTTGCGCGTGAAAATATTTCTTTGATAAAAAAACGAAAGCGAAAATGATTTGAGTGGAAGAAACTGCTTGAATTCCAAAGTTAAAATTCATAGTTTGATGGAAAATGCGAAAAGTAGAGTGAGTTTGACTGATGTCTGTGGTGTCTAAAAGCATAGAAAGCGTGAGGCGGGGCAAAAGTTTTCGTAGATCCTTGGGTGTGAGGGTTTATATCTCTCTCTCCAGATGGTTACCAGAAGACGGTCAAATAGACGTAAGGTAATTATTTTTTTGGTTTTCTGAGTAGAAGTTACGTCTAAGAAATCTCGAAAATTCTGCAAAAATTATCTGCGGAGTGCGGCAAAGTGATGGAATAGATAAATTAATGAATGCAAACGTGGATAATTCTACTGCTTGGTAGTATAGTATACTCGAGTTTAATGATTTCGCAGCTTTTTCAAAAATTGCTAATGAAAAATTTGCAATGTTTTCTTTTGATTAAATTAATAATATTTATTGTTTATTGAATAATATTTTAGCCCATTCACGCATACTATTTAAGCTTAAAATATTTTGCAGTTTAAATTATTACTGCTATCAAATTTGCTGATGCCAAAAATTTTATTATAGTATTATCTACTTATATTATTTTGAACAATTACTTCATTTAACGAATTCAATCTAAAGAATTTGTTTGCACTCGTCATTTTACTACTACTCTCACTGATCAAACTTTTTATGCACCTGTTATTTTTGTTTTATTTCTTTGAAGAATTGACGGTAGAATTTTGATTGCGAATGATGAATTTAAAATTCTTAGATGCATTCTGAAGTAATACTCAATGATTGCCTTTCTTATTTTCTTGACACCAAAAATGAAAAATGTTTGAAAATGGTAATAATAATGTAGATAGCGATCTGACTATTGCTACCAAGTATTGTGATGATATCCAACATTTGATATCTTACAAAAGAACTGATTTTAAAATTAAACTTTCAACAAAAACGTCTTATGTTTTCTGCGCTATCTATGATCGATTAATTTTTCAGTCAGTTAAAGAGAATTTTGCATTATTTACGAGAGTTTCAATTTGTTTTTTCTGGTTATTTTCACGGCTGTTTCAATTTTAACTGATTACTGTACAATTGCTGACTCGAGCATATAGTTGAATTAGTTGAATACATACTTTCTTATGATTACTTCTCAATTGTGCAATTTTCAAATTTTTGAATACTGCAAAATTTATCATTCTTTCCTTTTTTTTTCAGTTCTTAACGAAAAGCAACGAGGCAAGCAAAGAATTAAACACAAGTAGATAAACTTTGTGCCATCTGATGGCATTTAATAGTATATAGTGACTTGCAATCGTTGAGATAATCATGAAGATATGAATTTGAGGGCGATAATCCTGAGGAAGCATTGCAACAACGTGTTGCTGCTAATCGTCGTGAACGACAGCGAACGAAAGAACTTAATGATGCGTTTGCAATTTTGAGACGAATAGTTCCATCCTTACCTTCCGATAAAATGAGTAAAATTCATACACTGCGTATCGCTACTGATTATATCCGATTTCTAGATCAGGTTTAAGATCTTTCTCATTGGTTTATGCATGTTTTTTCTTATTTTATTGTTTAATTTTTGCAACTAAATACAATATACCAGCAATAATTTGCACGCTTTTGTACAACACATAATTTTATTCAGATGAATGGCGATGGATGTCGATTGTTTGGGTATGAGATGCAACTTTATGATGGTAATCTGCAAACAACTTTCAATATGTGGCGAGGTGGCATGGCTTCTTTACCACATTATTACTCGAATGACCACTCCTCGATACAAAATTATATTAAAACAGGTCATATTATTAATAATTTAGATTATGAAAACATAAGTAAAACGTTTATTTTAAATACTTTTGGGTCAAGTCGATTTAACTGCGTCATTTCAACTTTTCTAATTCTCAAAATTAAAACTTTAACTGCACAACTTTCAAGGCTCATTTGATGCAGAGATTAAGCTTAATCTACAATTTATGTACATTGAAATAAAAATTAAGACTGTAAATCTGAACTGAGTTATTGACGCAGTAAACGCTGATGGCAGCAGTTCGTTAGTGAGAACAGAAATAATTAGCAATAAAGTTCAAATTAGTTTTGTGCTGTAATCTTTTAACCAGATCATAAAATTTGTTTTTATTATCATAAATACGAAAAAAAACTTCGCCTAAACAAATCACAGTAGTTACATCTCATTTTAAATACCTCTCAGTATGAATTTCCTGTTACAAAAATGAAAATATGTGGCAGAAAATTTTGAACGAATAATTTATCATTATATAATATTGTAGAAGAAGAAGGAAACAGTGCAACTTCTTGGTTTAATGTAAGCATTGGAACAACTTCAACAAACTCAGGCACTCCAATTACAACTTCGACTTCAACGTTAGCAGTGGATCACAGAAATGCGATGTGATGATCTTGTCTACGGAGCAAATAATTGCTTATTCTTAATAAAGGTTTGGGCGCAAACAGCTGCTATGATTAAATGCCTAAAATCGATGTGATTAATTGTTTTTGTTTTTATTTTTTTATCAATGGACGAAGTGAACTGATATGCGTACATTGTATTGGCAATTTTGATGGAATATGCAAGTTTTTTTCAAAGTAGTTTTTAAAATTGGGCCATTTTGCGTTAATTTTGTTTGCTCTTTGACTTTGTTATTGTAAGCTTACAACAAAGGACACAAAGGCCAAAGTAAACGATTCTTTGCGCTTTTTGTATAAACAATTTTTTGGCTTAATAATATATCACTTTTACAATCGTAAATGAGAAAATTTTTCTTAATGCATTGCGTAAGAAAAGCGCTCACTTACTTAGCATAAGTGTCATTTTACAATGGCTAAATCCCTCATCTTCCTTTTGTCTGTAGAGATTATTAGAAGAATTCTGTGTGTGTAACCAAACAATATCATGCAATTCTTCAGAACCTAACTTGGATCTCTCCAAGTTAGATCCTCTAGGACTGATCACATTCTTTTACACAAAGTTATGACAACAACAGACTACTTTGCGCATAGCAGTGAGAATACTTGAACTCTGACTCCGCATCGCATTCGCATTTAATGCTTACGATTTCGACCAGTTTGTCCAATTGCTGCAGAAGAAAGTAATCTTAAATGATACTAAGTAATTAGACCAACCAGTACTCTCTTATTGTGCTTACCAGCAAAGTTTTTAATTCTAATTTAAGCAAAGAAGGAATTTTTTGAAGCAAACGAAAAGTATTACATTTGTAGATTAAATGAAAAATAGTTGTTGAGGTACTGATTTCATTATATTTTAATTATTTATTCCATAACTACTGTTTGAAGTGATGATATACCTGAGGTGTCGAGGCACCTAAAGTATGTTATAACCTATTAAGAGTATTTTAATTTCTCAAGTAATGAAAATATTTGCAGTCACAATCATTGTTATTATTACACATAGTTTTTCAATATTATTTAACATTACAACTGGCTTCTGGTAGAAATTATAAAATTTTCTTGAAATATTCAACTAAAGTTGCAATTACAGTATTGAAGACCTTCATCATTCTTCAAGTTAATCCATTAGGCATGATTGCGCGCGAAAAACAAAATTGTGACAATCTCAGCAAAAACTATAGAAAAGAAAAATGAAAAAAATATTTTTTCAATGTTCAGTAAAAAATAATATTTTGCAGTCCTTTAATCATCAATCAATAAATCACTCTTTGATATTACTGTCAAATCTTTGCAAATATTTTCGTCAATATTTATTTTGATCATGCAGTTTAATCAAAATCATTTTTTGGCGTCTAAGCAATACTTTTTGAAAGAATAAGAAAAATTTAGGCATTAATTATCTCTTTTATATGAATAAGATAAACAAAGTGAAAAACGAATATTAAAAAAATTTATCATAAATTTCCTCAATGAAAAACGTTTGTAAATCATTTATTCATTCATCTTTGATAAGTTGAAAGGAAATGATGAGATACGGTAATGTGTTTAGTTCTGTGCATCAATACTCGGGAAATAATTGGTAGAGAAATTTGAGAGGGCATATTAACGACTTTAGTACTTTCAAATGTTTAACATATTGCTTGCAGATGTGCCACTCCAACTATAACATTTCTCAGCAAATATTTTGCTACAAGTTTAGGGGTTAAAGTCTTGTAAAAGCTCAACCTTAAAATTAGACTTTAGTTTTTTTTCCTATCAATCAATTATTAATTTATCACTAAAAACAGACTTTGTTATCAGATCCTGATCATTTGAAAAAATTTTCGCTCTAATTCTTTTCAACTAAAGTCTAATTCATCAATGATTGCATTTTTTAACGATTGTTGTATTAGTACCAAAGAGATGAGTGAAAAATTTCTCACTGACCGTACCTATAAGTTTCTCAATACAGTAATAAAATAGAATCTCATAAAAGTAATAAAAATATGCGAGAGAAGTGACGTGACACGGTTATATGGTTCTGAGCATTGTCATTTCGTTATTTATTTTCGTGTATTTTATCAAGAAAAATTAAAGAAAATGGATTATTTCTGTGAAATTTATGTATTTATTATTCTGCATTTATTTTTCCCTCAATCTTATAAACAGCAATGAAAGCAATGGCTCATTCGTAATAATACTTTGTTTTTCGTTTATAAATTCATATATGTTTTGCAATAATTAATTTCTGATTAATTGGTGCATTTTTAATGTTTTACACTAGCAAAAACCTACTTGATGCTTGTTTAGAAAAATAGCCTTTTCATTCTTTCTTCTAAAAATTTTTCACAATAATAATAAGTTAATTAAAGCTAATTTCATACTTTGAACGATTTCAGCAATTTAGAAAAGTTTTTGTTTTTAAAAATGGCAGAACAAAATTTGCAGCTCTGATAGAAGTCTGGCAGTAGTTTTCGACTTGAGACTCACTAAGAATCTTTTTTGAGCATTCAATAGTCTTCCAAGTGCAAGTAACACTTTTTTAAACTTTCATTAGCAATATAATATCGGCGTTACTCGACTTTTCTTGCATTAATCTAAATTAGTAGATGATATCGCAAAATCCTCGATTTAAAACATAAATGAAAAAATTACAAAAAGATGTTCTCTTCTGAAATTTGCATTTTATAGTTCAATGGTTGATAATATCTGGATTCAGTATCAAATATCGAATAGTATTTGATGTGAGTAATCGATCTGATAAGATAAAAGTTTACATTTTACATGAATAATAGATCACTATCTGCTTATTGTTTTTGTAGCTTAATCTCACACTGTTTATACTTTCTAATGACTACAGAGACAATGTAAGATATGCTTTGAGTTTGTATTTAATATCAGTTAATTGTTCAAGAGAATATTTATGCACTAAAGCATATAATACTTCAATATGGCGATATCTGCTTTATTGTTGAGCATGACAAATTAATAGTATGGAAGTTCCAATAATCAAGTAGAATAATAATTGTTAAATAAATTAATTACATCATAAACGGAAAAAATGGTTGAACAAAGCATATATAATTCAGCTTTCTCCATTTTATATGATGCTTTCAAAATGGATCACAAGAGTTGTACAGAATTAATAAAACTGAAGCAATTCTCATCAACGAATATTTCGATTCTGATTTCGCTTATACGAGCGAAAAGAGACACTTGGGAAAAACTCCAATTTCAGATGTGCGCAACTCTTTCATTTGTATTTTCTTTTGCGGTAATTTCGGTAAATTGAATTTGCTGACATATTATATGTACATGCTATTGCTATTATGCTAACCTGTACGAAACCAAATACAGTGGCATAAATTCAGTGTAACTTTTATCGAAATTTTACCGCTTATAAGCATTTTTTAGGTTGTTTTATAGTGTATAAAAATGTATTTTGTTACATCTACACGCTAACCGTTTATTGTTTAAAAAGTGCTGAAATGTTTATAATTAAGTTTCGCTACAATGCAAATATTTAATGAAAAGATTGTGCAAAATGATTGTGAATCAAATTGTCAAAATATCTGAAATTGAAAATGAAACATTGTTGGAAAAGGAAAGCAAGCATTTAGAAGACAAGTGCATCAGAAATATGCATCTAAAAGCTTTTTTCTGCAAACTTCTCGATTTCAATTTTATTTGTTTATCAGCACAGAATATGCGTAACATTTCAACCTTCAATTTGTTTTCTGTCAGCAAAGCAATGGCTTGGAATTTGTCAGATAATCCCAAATTTAATTGTAAATGAAGATTTGATTCTTTTCTAAACAAATAAAAATGCGTCTAAATACGGAATATTTATAGCGCAACGACAGTTGTCTGTTCTAAATAACCTTGTCCATATACCATTACAGGACTTGGGCCCAATCAATTTCCAGAAACCAGTCTCTCGATCGTTTAGATCAGAAGCACACCTCAAATAAATTTAATGCTAGTATCACTTAAGAGCAGTAACTAACTATTTTAAATACTTTTTCGTGGCCATCTTAAATACTACTTTGATTTACAAATAGTTTTGCATTGAAAACGTGAAAGCATACGTGGCAGTTTTACGATGCCTTTGTGCTTCAGGTTGACATTCTATGCAGACTTTATTGCCCGTAAATAGTTTGGCAGTGATCTGCTTGTTGACGCAATTCGCATTAACCCAACCCAATTGGTAAGTAACACAATAGCTACAACAGTAATGTCACAATAACTACAATAGTAGTTCTATAATAACTACGACAGTATTTACAATCCAAATATTGGGTTCTAAATTCAATTCGCATTATTTGCTAAAGTAGTTAAAGTATTGCTGAATACAAAAACAAATTTCAGTTCGGTTTTGTATTCAGCAATACTTTAACTACTTTGGAGCAAATTATTTCTTTTATTGAAATATTTGGCAATTTAAATTTTATATTACTTACGTTTCAAACCTATAACTCTTTTATTTAAAATAAATTCATATCTTTCTTGATTATTGGGAGTTCAATAACTTATAGAAAAGCAGTATTCTTATTCAGTAATAAACTTTTTTGTTTTTAATTTTGTAAATGGTCGAGTTACTGTCCTTACTGAGCACAATTACTTCAAAGAAATTGTGGATTTCAAAGAATTCTGAAATAATACGGCTTTTAATCTCAAAATTTTTATTATTTACATGAATTAATTAGTATCCCACTCAAAATTATATAAAATAAGCTGACTAATTATTTGTCGTTTTGCCGATATCCCAATGAAATCGATGATGACGGCTAGATTCTTCCCGAGTTTCGTTAAATGAATAGTTCAGGATAAGCGCTACTGAGGATTCCGCTGAATCATACCAACGTTTATCATAAATTGGAAAGAACTAAATACAAGCTTTTATCTATCAAGCAACTAGATGAATCAGTCGATCGCGTGCATACAAATTATTGCAATATTTTATCCATTTTCATATTATCAAACTCGATTACTACGATCAGTAATGTTAAATTAAGATTAAAATTCTATCAATTCAATTTGAAGAATTCATCCACCTTCTAAAAAATTAATCGAAAATCGATTATTTCATGCAGTTTTTCAATCAAAGAATAAAATTAAAATAGGTATACTCTATAGTCGCACTTTCTTAAATCAATAATGATTGCAAATCTTTCACCAAAGTAAAAGTTGAAGTCAAGTAGTACTTACTGACAGCTTGTTGGAAGTGCTGAGGGCAATCTCTCACGCAAGTCGTCTTCTCAAGCAGCGCTGCGCAAGCTCTTCCGCCTCTGTGTGGATGTCTTTCAACCTTTCTGCTCCGGATCTGCGTGCCAAGTCCACATTCTCCCTCGTCTGCTGCACACGCAGACCAAGTGGACCATTGCCCAACAATGCAGTCTACTGCTGAAATAAATGCTTACTTTTTTTATCACGTAAAGTAATTTATGATACTTTACTGAAATTGTTCAAATTTTGAAATAGTTCTTCCTATTTCTATTAATTTTCAATTGAAAAGTACTTTGCTTTCTGAAAACAAAAATTATTCGAAAATCTTTCAAAAATATTAGATCAAAATACGAGTTTTTTGCGTGAAAAAAGTATGAAAGCAAATTAAAACATAGCTTGGAATTTTGATAGAGGTAAATGTATTGTTCACAGCGCTTCCTTCACGGAATAATGAAAACTGTTCACTTAATTGACGTCTATTTACTCCAATTAAACTTTGAAGCATTTAAGCAAATGATTTGATTGACGGAATTGCTCGCCGCTTTCTGCTGGTTTCATTCATCACAAAGTAAAAGAGGAAAGAACTCACGAGAACACATAAAGGCGTAGTCAAAACAACAGTCCCCAAAAGTTATGCACTTCTCATCACAGTAACATAAATTATCATCGTTAACAAAATTTTGCAGCAGAACCAAGTTTGAGGGACCGCGGGAATTTCGAACTACGAGAGGAACATGCCGATTCAGCAGAGAATACCTGTAATTATCAACTTGCTTGCTAGCATTAATTCTGGAATAAAGATGAGCAATAATAAGTTTTTTTGAAAATCAGTCAAAAAAAGATTGCTAATTGGAAATGAGTACAGTAAAAAATAATTTTATTATGCTCAAATAAAAACCAAGTAAAAATAAGCTTCATTTTACTATTCAATAATCGATTTATAAAATAGCATAGTTATGCAAATTCATAAAAACCTGAACAAAGTTGATACTACATCCATGCAATTTTTTTTGGGAAAAAATAAGCATTTGAAATATTAATCAACTAAAATCATTAATGTTTAGGTAAACTCAAAATATCGTGGAAAATTTATGAACAGTTTAACTAACTAGCTAATTAATTAATTATATCAAACATTTTTTTTACGAAAAAAATTGTGATACCGGATAAATTTGTGATGTCGATAATATCGTATAGTTTCGTTTGCCTCATCATTAGAGTTAAAAGGCTCACCAAATACTATTTTATGATGAAGAAATGGTAATGTACTAGAAGTATTTTGGGATTTTACTACTTGATCTGTCCAATAATTGCTTTGATAACTTAAATTGGTGTCATAACCTAAAATCAAAAATTTATTGGCACAACAATTTTTATTTTTGTCACTTTCACAATAAATGTCTTAATGTCTTCATATAAAGTATGCTTAGGCTTCGGAAGTGTTAAGTGAGTTAGATTTATCTCAAACAAAAGTTTTGATTTTAAATATCGCATTAAATTAATAATTTCTCCTTTTCCGTTTCTCAGTAATAAAACTAGAAGCCAGCAAAAGCCATGAGTTAAAGGCAAAAGTTGAACCATGACGACGTAGTGCCTTCATGCCGTCTCTACCCAAAGCTACCAAATCTGGTGTGACTAATTTGCCGATAGGATTCATATTGACATCAAAAACAAGCGGATGTCGACAACGTCTTGGAAAGTTTCGTTGCTTACGTAGAAATTGCTGGCTTGCATTATCATTTGCAACACAAGTAAGATTAAACCCGAGACAGCATAATTGTGTTTGGTAGCATCCACAATGAATCACGGGAAGTACCAGAAGAACTGTAATATAACTTACACTTGTCAACCATTCCACTAATCCAAGCACCATTTTTTTATTTCACTACGAACGATGCCATTTACACCAGTTAATACTGAAAATATGGACACAATAATTTAAGCTTGAACAATTTTATCATCTATGTAAATAATTATTTTTACAATGACATTGTAAAGTATACTCAAGAAATTGATTGAGTACTGGTAAGAATATAGTACAATTAATTTAACTTATCAGTTGCACAATTAATAAAATAAATAAGTAGAGCAAAGACTGAAACAACAAAACTTGTAAGTAAGTTTAAATGTCTAGAAATCATCAGTTAAAACTGAAAGCAAAACTAGACCAGTTGAATGGCAACTAAAAAGTGAGCACTGATCACCGCTGATTTGTAATTAAACTGTGTGAAATGATCCAAGTAAAATTTGCTTGAATTGTACTTAGATCAAATCACCACAAACTATTTGCAAAGAAATCTGGCCAAATTATTTATACCAACTGCTTAAAGATATGTAAAAGAAGCAAAAATAAAAATGTTAATTGAGTACTTTTCCCGAAAATCATTCTTAAGATAGCAAAAAATAAGTAATTGTTAATTCAGTATGTTTTCTTCAATGATTTCAAGCCGAATATTAACATATTTTCACTAATATTTGTAATAAAAAATGATTTTGTTACGAATATTTAATAAATAGACTCATTTTCGGTCGCATTCACTTGCAAATAATTTTTGAACAAATATCAAAGCAAACAATCCACTGAGCAATTTTTGTAAATCGCTGTAAAAAAAAAGTCGAAAATACCATTCAATTGTCGTCCGCCAGTGATAAATTCGTTGAGATTTCCCACAAGTTACACTGATGTTATCTTTTGTAACAAAACGCAATTTCATATCAGTTTGTTTAATCGTTTTGTCTGGAAATCGGCATAAATTTACAAACCGATCAACCTAACATTTTGCAAAGTGTCTTTTTTTAATTTGCAATTTTTCAAAAAATATAATTTACTTTGTATAAATTTGACAGAATGAATAAAATACACCAAAGTGCTGCAAAAAACAAATCATAAATGCTACCATATGGTCGACTAAACTTTTTTATTCGAGTACCAGAGTGTGAATAACCTCTTTTTGCTTCTAAGCAATCGGAAAACTTTTATTGTAACTATTTTTGTTATTTTAGCCATAAATAAAACAAAAAATTTTTATGCACTTTTTATGCAAATTATTAACTGTCGAAAAAGCAATGATCTTTGTAGAAAAAATTGAAATGATATAACAATTGAAAGGAAAGAAAATATTACAAAAACAGTAGAAAATTTTTTGTCATTCACGGCTTGGCTTATTTTCACTTATAAATAAAACTAAAATATCAATTAGAAAAGCATTTTTTAAAATAATACTACTATCAATTGTTTGAATGACTTCAAGGAGTACTGAAGAGAGTGTAGTATTATCTTGTCAAAGTGTAAACACATCAAAATTGGCAATTTTTGTATTCTCTTAATGAAAATAAAATTAAAATAATTAAATAATAATAATGCACATACATGACACATTTGCTAACATTTATGATGACAATAAAAATAATAAAGAAAATATGATTTCGACTGATAGCAGCAGCCACAACAGCAGCAAACATAATGAGCATAACAATAACAACAAATATGCAAGATATTCATGAACCTTACTGATGCATAATTTAAGAAAAATTCAGAAGAAAGAGTGAAGTAAGAAATCAGCATTGTTGGCCATGTTGCATGAATTAGCAGTAAACAAATAGAAAGCAGTTAAGTAAATACATACATAATACTCTGAATCTTATCCATCAGCAATTCATCTTAGAAGTAAATATATTGGAAATATCATAATTTGCTTCATGTAATGTGATGTTTGAAGAGAAAAGCTATGGTAAGTTTGTTTTAGTAGCTTGAATATAACAGTGGGAATCTTAACAGCAAGAAAATCAAAGTGAATTAAGACAGATACTTTATGCTCATGCATTTTGCAGATGCAATTACGACAATGAAATAATGAATGTTTCATGAAGAACAAAATATAAAGAATATATTCGGATGACAGAAACAAATATTTATTTCAGTTTACTGAATTTTATAATGACCATAATATGTATTTTCCAGAACAACCACAATGTTTTGATTATAAAATAATAATTTCCATGTCAAATGTATTAAAGAAATATGAAGATGAATTTTGTGCTAAAGTAAATAAATATTTGTGAGACCTTTGCATATGAAGTGATAATAAATATTAATCTTGTTAAAATAGTCACCCGAAATAACCTGACAATTTGATAGATTCGATAATAATAATTTTTTATTCAAATTTGTGAAGAATAAGTTCAACAGCAAAAGAAATGAAATTAGATACTAAAACCATCCAAATTCTAAAATCAAAATTTTACATATTTCAATTATTGATTAGCGCAATCTATAAATTCAAAATTGTTTAAATGAACCAAAAGTGATTAAAATACAGTAATTTCTTTTTGTAAATTTGATCAGATTTTTTTTGCATTTTTAAAGTCTAAAATTAAATACGTAAATTAATTTGATTTGAAAAGTGAGCAAATTTTGCATATTCGAAAAATCATTATGCATGTATGTGCGTAACTTTCGTTTTCAAAATAAACCACTGACTAATAACGGTAGCTAATGGAAGGTATGTATTTGAATATAAAAATATCATTGAAGAAATGAAAAACTGACAGAGAAAAACAAGTCTATATTTGGACAATCATTAATACAAGTATTACTGAGATGAAGTTATGAATAAAGGTGAAAGAAATTTAAAAAATGAATAATCTTATGCAATAAAGCAGTTATTACTAGAATTTCATCTTTAAATTAATCTAAGAAAAGTTGTAAAATCTGCA